GAGAGAGAGAGAGAGAGAGAGAGAGAGAGAGAGAGAGAGAGAGAGAGAGAGAGAGAGAGAGAGATTTGCATCTTTTTAAAACCATAAGTCGAATAGTGATCTACATTTCTATTCATTCCGCATTGCAAGGCACACTGAGTCAGATCGGGTGTGGTTTCACACTTCTCGTTTTTCTGTTGCTGTTTTCAGAAAATTATAGAGTCCTTGTCACCGTGCGTTCTTCCCCCCCCCTTTAATTGAACACCGTATTCCAAATGCCAGGAACCAGGTCCAGTGCCCTCACATCAAACAGGCAAAAACTAGGGAGAGGGGTTTTATAACACCAGCCTGGCTACCCTGCCATGCTGTATTTTTTTGTCCCTATTTTTATGGTGAGGACATCTGTTGTACTCCCAATGATTCATATATTCTGAACTGTGTAATTTACATGTGGTTGTGCTCTCTGCAAGGAATATGAGTGTGAACGATATACAGAAAACCAAGTTGCGAAATCACACAGATGTCTGAGTAGTCGTGTTCAAACAGACAGCACAATTGCACCGAGAATCCATCCAAATAGAGCAATATAATGAAGTAATGAGCCAATGTTCAAGCCCGCAGGCCACACCAACACAGTATCCAAAGTTGCTCCTCTCTGTCTGGCGCCCAGCGCCCAGCCTACTCTACTCGACTATCCTACCTACAGCTGTGTTCACACAACAGGCTCACTTCGACTCTCGAAGACCAATGTACATGATGTCAACACCATAGCCGACCTCTCTTCATGCACCAGGTACGTATCTCGTCACCCTCATCAAGCCTTGAGACCCCACACACTCGCCTCCTTCCTTGAAGACCACCAGATCGCCCCCTAGCGCCCAGCAGCCCGGCTATGGCTGCCTGCACACCGCTGCCCTGCAGCGCCCCACTTCACCTCAAAGCACCCCGCCAGCGCTCTGGCCGCAGCGCAGCAGCGTGACCGCGATGCCTACGCGGGCCAGAATGCCTGGCCTGGGATGCCTCACTTCCTATATGGAAGTGGCAGCCTCCTGGATGCTGCGTGTGGCCTGGCTGGAAGCATTCAGTAGCTTCCGGTTGGGCCTCAGTCCCTGCGCCCAGGCCCGAGACTACAGTTGAGCGCCTGGGCCCTTTACAGTTGGGCACGGCCTGAGTCTCCGGACTTGGGCCGGTTGCTGCATTTGTGCAGGACCCCGGCGAAGGTGCGTTGACAGTACTGCTTTTGCATGGGCCGGTGGCCGCTTCATGATGTATCGGCCCTGCTTTGTGTGTATGTGCCCAGGCGCAACTGCCAAGGCCTGGGCCAACTGTACGACGCTGCTTAGGGAGGCTCACGCGCCCACTCAACCAACTGGCGTGCTACAAGAGCCTGAATACCCACATATGAAAGTGTCGAATTTTGGCCTCTGATGAATATACAGGCCCGCCTTCACTTAGGGCGGGTACTCGGCTGCTCGGGGCCTCTGCCCAGAACATGTGATGTCTGATAGGGCCCCGTGAGGGCTCATTCCTCACATCTCTTTCTGCGGTAGTTTGTATCGGTGCAGAACAGATTTGTGTTTGCATTGTACCGGTGCTGCGCGGGCAGCGTATTTCACACAATTTACTTCTTTGTTGTGTTTCTTTCCCCTCCTTTCTGGTGGTACGATCGTGATCCGCACAGCCCCTGCTTGGTACACTGAGTAAGCTTGCTCCAAGAGAGGGTCGGATTTCAGAGAACTATGGGAGGTCATACTATTAGAAAGGTATTAGAAAGTTAGCTACCGAAATTATTAGGGAGGTAGCCTACCGACATGGTTGACGGTTCAGTTGGAGGATAGTCGTCAGGAATCATCTCCAAGAACTTGCTGAAAAACCATGATGAAACACGTTTACAAGTCAGCAAGCCACTTTCTTCCGCGGAATATAACACCTCATCATCATCAACATATACAAACTCTGTTCCGGTTCATGTACCCTGGTGCTGCCAGGGCATTGAGTTCAGAGAATAAGGTAGGGCATTTCCAGCTGCGCCAGTCCTATTCTGTGATTTAATCTCATGGGTGCTGCGTATAGTTCCGTCTTTGGCCACAGAGCCGATACGGTTCTTTGGATTCTTTCACAGGATTTGAGAAAAGGAATCAAAAAAAAACAAATGCGAGTCCTGGTCGGTTCTTCCCGAGGGATGAATGCTGTACTCAAACATGGCTGTCAATGAACAAGTTCGGAGTTCAGATCCTGGAAGGAGGGTTTCACCTCTTTTGTAGATTCCCCAAGGAGAGTGCTGCGACAGCAAATACCAGGATCCCATAGGTTACCTTTCCTAGCACCTCTTTGTTGTGGTATGGCAGCAAACGGGTGCTCAGAGAGCAAATGCCTACCGGTAGGTGATTTTATCTGGGTGATAAGTTGGCGCACTAGGCACCCGAGCAAGTGCTTTCCAAGCATAACTCCTAGCTGGGTCGGGCACGCTCGGAAGTCTTACATAGGCGACGTTCAGGATTTGATGAAGTAATTGGTCTCAAGTCGCCAGTACTTCTGAGGATCGTTTCCTGGCAGTGGATTTCCACTGCGGACCAGGTAAAAACGAACCGCCACCAGCGTGTTTCCATTTTGTTTTGGCTGGCGTTGCGAGCCATTTTGGTCTGGTAGCGCTGTTCATCTGAAGATCCCACGGTGGACAAATCCGTCGCAAAAGTTTGCCCGGTGGTGGTACTGGTGCCTTTAAACCACCAGTACATCCGGAAAAAACAGATTGAGCCTGTCCGAGGTCATGGACCGTCAATAAAATGAATCAGCGGGTGGCAGTTCATGGCCTCCTATTTTGCAAGAGAGGCCGAGTCTCCTTTTTCGGATGTACTGGTGGTTTAAAGCCCTCTCAGGGTGCCAATGACGTTGAGGAGGGTGGAAGACAAGGAGTAGGAGCGGTAGTAGCAGCAGCAGGAGAAGTGTGAGGAGCAGCAGAGAGACGAAAAGGACATGCAGAATGACCGAGATAAGTCGAAGATAGGCTAAGTTCAAGATTCGACAAAACCGTGATGAGGTGCCACTTGCATCGAGAAGGATGAAGGACAAGGAAGAGGAGAAGCTGGAAGAGCAGCAACAGTAGTACACGGAGGAGGAGAGGAAGAGGAAAGAGCAGGAGGAGCAGGAGAGGAGGACATACACAGTGACCGAGTTAGATTCGACGAAACCCTGATGAGGTGCCACTGGCATAGAGGAGGATGAAGGACAAGGAAGAGGAGGAGGTGGAAGGGCAGCAAAAGTAGTACAAGGAGGAGGAGGGGAAGAGGGTAGAGCAGAAGAGCAAGTAGGACAGGACATACACAGGGACCAAGTTAAGTTGCAGACATGCTAGGTTCAAGATTGGACAGTGCTTGCAGGGTGTGCTTGCAGGGTGCCAGAGGAGGATGAAGGACGAGGAGGGGGAGGAGCAATAGCAGAGGAACAAGCACAAGGAGGAGCAGATGAAGCGGGCAGAGCGAAAGAGGAAGCGAGAGGAGGAAAGAGGAGAAAGTGGAAAAGATGAGGGAGGAGACTACGAGCAGCAGCAGCAAGAGCAGTAGTAGTACCAGCAGGAGGAGGAGAAAGAGACGCAGCAGAAGAAGAGGGAGAAGGAAAGAGCAGGAGGAAGAGGAAGGGGTGGAAAATATGGAGAAGGGGGAAAAAAAGGAGGAAAGGAACAAGAACAAGGTGGGGAAATGCAGGACAAATGAAAGACAAAAAAAAAAAACAAGAAAAGAGACAACCTGAAAAAAAAGTGAAGAAAAAAGGAAAATGGAAGTAGAGAGAAGGGGAATGAGCGTATGAAAAAGGTGGGAAAAGCGGAGAAAAGGATGAAAAACGAGAAAGAGGAAAGAGAAAGCTACTAATGTAGCAGAGATGCACACACATAACAACAAAAAAGGAGCAAAGAAAGTTAAGATATTTGGATAAGGTCTGTGTGTGTTGGGGTCATTTTGCGTTTCAATAATAATGGGGAGCTATTTTGGTAAGTCTGATTCGAGCAGGTACTGTTGTGGACCTGTACTTCATCATCGAGTCAATTCGACGTCAGGCGTGTGGACATCCCATGAGTGTTTGTCTCCTTGATGTCCCAAACCTACACGAGCTTCGGTGCTTCATCCAGGCTGTAGATTGCTTCGCTTGAGCGATTCAAGGCGGAGGAGGAGGAGCAGCAGCAGGAGCAGCTGAAGATTGAAGGAGGAGGTAGAGTTGGGATAAAAGTAGGAAGGAGGGGTAAGAGTAGCTGTAGGTTGAGGCAGAGGAGCAGGCGTAGGGCTAGGGAGAGAACAGAGTAGTAGAACTCGGCGAATGGAGGCAGGGGCAGGCAACAGGGGTAGGAGTAGGTTGAGGAAGAGGAGCAGAAGTAGGGCTAGGGAGAGAACAGAGTAGTAGAATTAGGGCCCTTTTTAGGGGAATGGAGGCAAGGGTAGGAAATGGAGGAGGAGGAGAAGGATGAGACTAATAATAGGGGTAGGAAGTGGAGGAGGAGGAGGAGGAAGAGAGTAGTAATAATAGGGGTAGGAGATGGAGGAGGAGGAGGAGGAAGCAGCTGGATTAGAGGGAAGCCAAGGGAAGATGGAGGAGGAATTTGAGGACGAGTGATACATGCTCAGTTAAGTGATGTCTATGGAGCCAAGGATCTGCAAAGTGATGGTAAGGACTGGAATGGACAATGCAGTGTCAACAAAGCATGAACAAGCAATGCAAATCCAGGTACTTATGAAAATAGCATAATGTAGTGCAACAGAAGACTCAAAGATATGACCTGACCTATCTGAGACTGACGCAGCATCCCATCATACACCACACATGTGAGAGAGGGAGGAGGGACCGCATACATGGAAGAAAGGTCCCTCCTTGCACACGCACATGGGGGATATACCACGGATGAAGAGATGGGGGAGAGGCGAGACAAAGATGGAGGTGAGGGAGAAGACCAAGATCGCGATAGCGAAGTCCAAGAATAGTCTCCCTGCCAAATGCCCAATCAATGTCTGCCGTAAAATGTCGAATCAGATCCTGGGCCTTATGCTCGATGTAACCTCTGCCTGTAACCTTTCTCTCTGAAGAAGAAGAAGAAGAAGAAGAAGAAGAAGAAAGGAGGAGAGATGGAGGGCAAGAGAAGAAGAAGAAGAAGCTGTCGTCCTCCTTGCTATCTCACCTGCAGGTAACTGCTGCGATGTGCTAACTGCCGCCGGGGGTATCCTCTGTGCTGCAGGTGAGCTGGCGCGAAGACCAGCTATGGCACCCAGGTAGGATCTCTGCTAATGCAGGTATGGCCTCCGCCTCACTCCCTACCTACACCTCTACCTCTACCTCCAGCGTAGCGCTTAAGCGTTGCTTCAGTGGCGTGGCGCCAAAGACGTGAGCTACTCGAACTGTGTCTTCCCAGGCGTGGCCCAACTATAAGTAGCGCTGGGCCTCGGGGGTGTGCCTTCGTGTGCCTCTGGTCTTCAGCCAAAATGTGGCCTACTGGGTCTGGGTCCCAACCAGACGTCCAGACCCTGATGCAGCAGGGACGTTCGCTACTGGACGAAAACGGACCTGGCCCAACAGGGCCTGCCTATGTTCATACCAGGCCAAAAATGTGGCCTTGTCCGGACAGACAGAAAGTCTGTTCGGACGAAGTGCAAGTCCAAAACGACGCCTGAACAGAAAAAAATAGGACAGAAAATAAATAAATAAATAATGAATGCTGCCTCAAATCGAAACCTGTGGCCCTAAGACCGGCCGCAGGCCTCCAGGGCGCGCGTCTGAGGTGTGTGCGGCCTGGGGCCCCCCTGCAACCGTCGGCCCCCCAAGTTGGGGCCCGTGTGCAGGCTCAGCATGTAACAATGAGGGAGGAGCAATAGTAGGGGCAGGCAGAGGAAGGAAGAGTCGAAGGCGGATGCAGACAATTGGAGGTAGAGAGTAGTAGTAATAGGGGTAAGAAATGGAGGAGGAGGAGGAAGCAACAGGATTAGGGGCAGGCAAAGGAAGACGAGGAGGAATTCGAGGAGGAGGGAGGAGAACTAGTAGGGGCAGGCAGAGGAAGGAAGAGTCGTAGGCGGATGCAGACAATTGGAGGAGGATGAGGAGGCTGACAGTGGGAGGAGGAGGGAGAGGAGGAAGCAGCAGGAGTAAGGGCAGGCTATGGAAGGAGGACAGGAAGGAGGAAGGAGCAGGACGAGGAAGTAGGAATAAGAGGGGTAGGAAAGGAGGAGGAGGAAGCAGCAGGAGTAAGGGCAGGCTATGGAAGGAGGACAGGAAGGAGGAAGGAGCAGGACGAGGAAGTCGGAATAAGAGGGGTAGTAAATGGAGGAGAAGGAAGCAGCAGGATTATCGGAAGGCAAGGGAAGATGGAAGAGGAACTGGAAGAGGAGGGGGCAGCAGTAGTAGGGCCAGATAGAGGAACAAAGAGTTGTAGGTGACAATTGAAGGAGGAGGAGGAGCAGGAGGAAGATTCAGACAGTGGGGGGAGGAGTAGGAAGAGGAGGAAGCAACAGAAGTAGGGCCAGACAATGAAGGGAGAACAGGAAGGAGGAAGGAGCAAGCAGGACATACAGGCATGCAGTGGAAAGGAAGAGGAGGAGTTTGTTTGTGCGTAGTGTCGGTTATCCTTACCATCTCTCCAGTAACAATGGATGGTGTCTACTTGCAGGGCATTACCAGGCCAATGTTGTCTTGCTACCCCTATCTATCGACAGTCACCATCACTAATATGTCAACACCTGCTGGAAGGCAACCGCTGTTGAATCTTGATAAAGGTGATTACTACAAATAAGGTCTATCCTGCACAGTTCTCTGTGGTCTACCTTTTACCTTGAGAATGAGATATCCTTATTTGTGGAATTTGAAGGGGGGAACATTTGATTATGTCATTTGACAAGATAATGAATTTGTTAGGGCGTTGTCCTGTCCCAATGTGCATGCTGCAGCGTGCCTTCCCCTCCCCCAGCCCCTCTGCGCAGTCTTCACCTTTTGGACTTCTTTATTGTTGAGAATATGTACACTTACGTATCTATTGGGTGTGGAAGGCCCAAGTATGCCATGTTGCGGACCTGTGTTTCCTTCTCCACCGTCATCTTTGTGTAGGGCGTAGAAGACGGAAGCACATTGGATTACGTGTGCGTGATTGCCATTGACTGAGGTGCCTGTTTGAGACTTTATCTGTATTTCGCATGTCGACCGGGTGTTTGCTCTCCATGCCCCATAGCTATGCCAGTTATGAACTTTGACATATTTTAGCATATTGTCCTCCCTCATCCACAAAGTGTTGTTTGCAACTCTAGGTACGCAGTTCGCTCGCCCTTTGCTACGGTGTACTAAATGTATCTGGATAGCTTGCTTGTTCGAGAACGTTCAAAAATGTAGAAGCAGTCCGAATGCATCTGGTCCACATTCTGTTTGGATAGGTGTAGGATGTTGTGCAGTGGAGCAAGGCCCTTAATCTCGACCTGTCGAACAATCACCAACATACTGGCACGTCGAGTTTTTTGGATGTATCTTACTGCAGGCACTCACTGCGAGAATGGATTGGAAATATCCTCGTGTTCCATTTGCCTAAGTAATTCTTGTTGGTGTGGAAATTTGTGTGTGTGTGTGTGTGTGTGTGGGTGGGTGGGTGGGTGTGATCTGCCACCGGCAGGAGCTAGCCATCCACGAAGGAGCTGAGGTGTCTTAATGATGGATAAAAAGCGCAAGGCAGGAGCACGTGGTCCTGGTGTTCAAGAGGAGGTCGCCCTTAACAGTGTAGGCGATGTTCCAAAGCGAGGAGGAAAGAAGGGAGGACTCGCATCTTCCCTTCCCGGGCCCGATCCTCAAATGCCGAAGGAGAAAGTAAAGAGTGGTGGCAAGGTAGGAAACATGGCATCTGGCAAGTTGGCTCGGGCAGCTCATCAGGGTATGGTACCCAGATCTGCTAGTGTGACCCCAACACCGTCCTCGTTGACAGATCATGGTCAGCAGCCAGCACTAGTGTCACCTGTTGCAACGGCACCGAATGCACCTCTGGGACTGAAAGCCGGCGGACGGGATGGAGGTGGGAAAGGAGGGATGAATCCTCGGGATGGAGGGCGTGGAGATGATGCAAGGTGGCACAGTCAGAGGCGGACAGGAGGCACAAAGGATGGAGCGAACGCTGGGAGGATGAGGAAAAGTCTTCCTGACGGGTTGTGTCAAAATGGGTATGTACGGGAAGGAAGTGATCCCGGCGTACCTGATAAGAACGCCAGCAAGGGGTCGGGTGATCGAGACCCAGCCGGGGCAAGAGAAGGTTTGTGGCCTCCTCGAGACGTCAGACTTCCACAGGAGGATGGTGATGATTTAGTGTTTCAGGAAAGGAGTGGAGGACACACGAGGGAGATGGCGTCAACCGGGTACCGGAAGGGGTACGGAAGGGTGGGTGAGGCTGAGACCGCGGTAAAGATGATGAATGGAGGGGCGGCTTCCAACTCCGCGCCGAGAACGAAGTTGCAGAATGGACGACATGGCAGTGCCCGTAATGTGAATGCTGGTGCACATGGAGTTGTGTATGGTGATGGAAGCGGCGGCAGAGCAGAGGCGAGGGAACGATATCTTGCTGATCAAGGGACTATGTGTGATGGTGGGGGAAAGCAGCAGTTGGGGATTGGGCAAAGAGTGGGAAAAGGCGTGAATATGCCCAATGTAGGTGAGGCGGCAAGGGAGGAACCAAAAATGGCGGAAGAGATGGGAAAGGATGGAGAGGCAAGTAGCGAGGAAAGGTATAAGGACGAGTCGGCGTCGGCAGGTGGGCTGGAAGACGAAGGGGAGGAGGATGAGGGTGGAGAGGACTTGGAGGAGGAGCAGACGGAGGACGAGAGGTTGGTGGAGGAGCGTGCTGGAAGTGAAAATGAAACTCTGGAGAGCGTGCCGAAGCGGAGGCGACAAGACGGGGAAGAGCGCGATATGGGAGATGGAAACCAACCTGCTGAGGCCAATGGCTATGCTGGTGAGGAGGAACGAGAGTGCGAGGGCACAGTAGATCCGGAGAGCGAGCGGCGGCAGAAGAAGGTTCTCCGGAGGTGGCAATTGCATGGGTACCGTGCAGTCCTGGGCGCATTCCACTCCACGGGTCCAACTATCACATGGCACCAGGAGTACTTGTTGACGGAGCTTCGGTGCGAGTTGGCGATAACGAATGAAACTCACTCCCGGGAGCTCAGGAGGCTCAACGTAGGGGGTCTGCTTGATCGGGCCCCTGAGCAGATCAGAGATAGGGAAAGAGAGAGGGCAGAGGATGGAGCTGGGTGTGGGCGGAACGGGGTTCATAAGGTTGATCCCGCGGCCGAACCGTCTGCTTCAGATCATGCGGTTGAGCAGTCGGGAAGTCAAGAGAGTGAGAGGAGTGGCGAATGATGCAACCGACTCTCTTTCTTGGTGACAATTGCAAGGTGTTGCGTGCTTGTCTCAGCGTCCGATCGGCACACTGTTGCATCATGGAGGAGGTGTCCCTGCTCTGTCTATCTGTAGCGAACGAGTGGAGGGTTGTCTGACGCTGTTTATCTGTAGCGAACGAGTGAAGGGTGGCCTGACTGTCTTTGTACACATGTGCGCTTGGGTGTGCAGATGTTTCCGTGGCACAGCCACTCCCAAGGACGAAGAGCAATCGGAGAAGAATGTGGCGAAAAGATGTGGTGTTGAATCAGTTGTGCGTTTTTGGCAGGCAGGAAGGACGGACAGGGAGTCGAGGATTGGAGCAGCAGAAATAGGACGGGGAGCGGAGGGCAGAGTCGGCCTTTACGTGTCCAGCTAGTGAGTGCGTTTACAAACAACACAGTGCATATCTGCTGTGGCAGGAGTGAATCTGGACGGGCCTTGTGTCTGGGGTCATTGTGCCCTCTATGCTTTCGCCCTTGTGCTTTGTTATGCGTTGTCTGCTAGGGCGTTCGATGTTCCACTGTGTGACAACTTTTGTGTTTGGGTCTCGCCCCGCTGCACAGCACTCTGTATGTATCTGGCGCTCATAATTGTCTCGATAAATTCAAAATGTTGGACTCGTCTGAATGCACCTGGTTCAGATAGCGTCCAAATGCATGTAGAATGTTGAGTATAGGAGCGGGGCCCTTTTTGTTTGCTAAATGGCCACGCATATCATCTCTTCTGTCTCGATGGGCTTGACCTGCTCCGATTGGCAGCCAGGCCAGGGAGTGGTAGATAACGGGTCTCACTCCACTGCTCTCCACATGCACAAAAGACGAAAACTATGGCGGTGTATCTTTCCATCTTCTAGCGGAGTATTCAGTGTCATTTTGCACATTTGGAGAGTAATGGAGCGAGGCCCAACATGCCATGGCCATGTGCAAAGTGAGAGATGAGAAAGCCCAAATTCGACATAAGACAAGGAAGGCACCGTGGATGTACAGTGTGTGATGCAGATGCAGAGCAAGTTTTGATTTCTAAATAATAAATATTTTTTAAATGAGAGAGTATCTCCTGTCTGACCGTTGAACTGCGGTGTCTATACTTTTTTTTTTTTTTTTTTTTTTTCTTCCTTATTTTTTGAGAGCGGTGTCTGTACTTTCATTGCATGTTGTATGAAGATTCTGTGCCGTACACTTAAGGTCTCCTTCTTTTTTCGGCAAAAAAAAAGGTGTACAAGAAGCGAAAGGTACTGAAAAAGTTTGTCAGAAAGAAAGAAAACAAAAGTTTGTATGGTCTCAGTGTAACAGATAAACTTATGCAAACACAGCCGTTTGAAAATCGAATAAAAAAAAAAAAAAGGCTGTGTTCTCGTTTGTCTCCAACTAAACCCTTACAGAACAGCCGAGATCACCGGTTCGATTCCGTTTGGCTTCGGAATTCCGTCTGGCTGCGGATCGATTATTGGGCTACTATGTAGACAAACCTATCAACAGGTACGAGCCCATTAACCAGCTAGGGGGGATGTTCACCTGGATTCTGGTGTATGGGATGCTGGTCGCCAACTGCGGAGGGTCTTGGATTCTGCGTGGATGCTGCTGCCCGCGGAAGATCTCATGGATGTCCTGAGCTGACGAGAAAAGTCCTTGCTGCAACGGTGCTGAGGTGGGCCGAATGTCACGACCTGTGTGGCTTCAGTTCTGAACACCGGGTCAGCGTTGCAGTGGTAAAGGCATCCGGCTGCTACAGTCAAGGTCACCGGTTCGATTCCGTTTGGCTGCAAAATTCCGTCTGGCTGCAGATCGATTACTGGGCTATTATGTAGACAAACCTATCGACAATAAACCCTTACAGAACCTCTTCAGCATATCAGGGGATATTCACACTAGCAGCACTTTTCTAAATGTATCTGATTGGAATCACTTCCAGAGGGGGGCGCATCTGACCGTAATAACGTCCAGAGCTCAGTACAAAAAGTTCTCGTGTGAGTATGCTCTCAACATTGCAAAAATGTCAAGGACCCCAAAAGGGGCTTAAAAGCCGAGGTTGCTGTGTTCACAATTATAATGGGGGGTCAGACTGCCAGGGGCTAAACAACCATTTTAGGGCGTGCTGCAGGGCCCGTAAAAAAGGTTGAAAGGCACGGCTAGCTTTTTTCATTCATTCTCGCCGCATCGAGTGTGCAAAGGTGATCTCTAACTTCTAAAAGCAATTCTCTGCCCAGTGAGCAAGATAACATTGGAGCATTTTACGTCTTGTCATAGTCTTTTACAGCCCTTTGCAGTTAGGGTCCCTTTTTTTTCTTTTCCTTTTCCCCGAGGATCCATCCATCGGTGGGGAGCTGCCCCTGCTCGAAATCGGGTCCAGCGTCCCTTCTCGGTCGGGGTCTTAACCGAGTGGTGTTGTTGAGGACATCTGGGCAAGCCCATGTGGCTTGATGGTACACAGATGGATCTGTCGATAGACAAACCTCAGTTCAAATCCTGATGCTCAGATGAGTAAAATAACTACCTGGAGCCGGTCAGTTCGACGATGATACATCGAGGTCATCACCATTTTAAAAATATACGGCCAGTGTCCTACCCTCTGGGTACGTACAGTCTTAAGGTCTAAACCACTAGGCTTTGGGAAGTCAGGGTTGGAGTTTTCAGATTAGCAGTGTGAACTGAAAGGTACTGGCCGAAGGGTTATATGCTTTTGCTTGTAGGGATATGATGGGGGGGTTGGCTCTCTGTGTGTATTGCCCACTGGGGTTGGTGTTAGGTTTTTGGGGGGGGGTTAAAAACTTAAAACCCCAGTTCACATAAGCCGAAGCTGACGAAGCCACCGTTTCCAAGGCGCACAAATCGAAAAGTTCCAGCTGGGACTTTTCATAATGGCCGTCTGCCCTTACTACGGGCCCAGGCCCAGGCCCGAATCGCAACGCTCTTACCACGGAGGATACTGGCAAAGCTCGGCATAGGCTCCTCCGGTATAAATAAATAAATAATAATAATAATAATAATAAATAAATAAACAAACGGCCAGTACCTTTCCCAGCCATATCTACAATATGACGGCAGTGAATGAATTAACCTGGCACAGGGCTCTGGGATTATCGACTTACTGAGGGTATAGGAAGTAACTTGGCCTTGTGGGGGGCTCAATCCGTAAACCGCCAGTACTTCGTGAAGTCGTGCCCGTAAACAAGCCACAATTTCAGGAAATGTATGGACCACTGCAGGAGCGCCCAAATTCATCCGACGAGAAACGGTTCTACTCTATTTTTTTTTCTGCGGCTGATAGCTGGGCCAAGTACTGGTGGTTTGTACGGGTTCAGTGTAGCGTTCCACAGCTTTAGCTCATCATAGGTTTGGGTAAGATGCCAGAGTAATCAATGCTGGCAGGCGTTTTCTCAGTCACTTTTCCTGATATCATGCTGATTCATTTTGTGTATGGGATGCTGGACCCGTTTTCCAGCAGGTGATGCTCCCCGCCAAAAGACTCAGGCTTCCAACGAGAAGTTGTGACCTTTGGGTTTGGTGCCTATTCCACTGTGTTTAGGGATTAGGGTTTAGGGTTTAGGGTTTAGGGACTGTACGTCCTATTTACGGATCAGGGATTAGGCCCATTAGGGTTTAGGGACCGTACGTTCTATTTAGGGTTTGGGGTTTAGGGTTTAGGGGTCGGGTAGGTTAGGGACATCGGTGTCTTGAGTGCAATATTTTAGTTGTTTATATTTGGGTCCTTTGATTTTGGGGAGTTCAGGATCCTACCATCTTCCCCCAAATAGAATGTAGTATGTAGTACTATGTACATTGTACAGCTATTTTACCAGAGTGGCCTGGGACCAATTGCCCGGCCGGGCCAAAATTTAATTAAGGAAAAGATATAAATTCAAATAATATTATAAATTTATAATAAATAATAAATATATTTTTAATTTTTTCGTTTGACAAAGAATTTCGATCTGACCTGAGGCAAAAGTTGTTCGGTTTATTTCTGTGCACAACGCAGTTTTTTTCCGGATGTTTTGGATTTTTTTTTTTTTT